GGTGCTGTTCCAACAAGGGCTTTTTCTCCATTGTCGATCAATAAATGGTTTATGATAAATACTCTACCACAATCTAAAATTATTTTTGAATATAAATATCCATAATAGTAACTGATAAGTAATAACGTCTATAGAATAGACATAATGATGACTGTTTAAAAATTTACATCAGAAGTTTATAAGTAGCCAATGATTGTTTATACTTCATTAATTTTATCAAAAAACAAACAAAAGAATTTGGATACAGTAAAAGTTAAATCAATTTTTAAAATATATATAAATTAAAAATTAATGTTTACATGACAGAAAATAACATTACATGGACTGCATCTATAATATAGTTATTTGTTCCAAGTCCCATTAGACTGACAATGTAATTCAATCGGAGTCTCTTGTCCATTTGGTTCAGTATATGACTGCTTACATGATGGTATTGCTATTGTATCGGGTATCGATAAATTTGAATGGTTAGCATTCTTACCATTAAGAGTAAATTTAATATCTAACTATCTGATCTTAGAGGTGGACACATTTCTATGAACAAAAATAAATTACTATCAATTATAACCACAGATTACTTTTAATGTATAAATTAATAAGTAATTTTTAAAGTTCAAACTATGATACAAAACTTACTGAAACACAATTTCTCAAAATTTGATAACCATTTTCCTTTTCCCAAACAAACCCTATAACCATTAGGATAAGCCTTATTGTATCCAACTTCACAATCTTCAGTAATAGGTAGATGTTGTTTAATTAATGCCCCATAAGATAAAACTTCATCAGAACCTTCATAAAAATATACGACTCCTTTGGCAGTAGGTAAGATGCCCAAATTCATTGTGGCCTGTTAAAATCTTAAATGTAAAAAACTTAAAAATAAATACTATTTGAAATATCTTAGTTATAAAGCAGAATTAAAATGTCATTAAAAACACCAAGCTAATACAGATAATTAAACACTAAAATTGATACCTATAAAGAAATAGGTTTGCGTACTAGTTTGTTTAAAAGTCCACAAATCTGTTGAACATGGTATTAAATGTCTGTAAAAACTGCCACCGAATCGATTGTATCTTTAACGTTGTCAACAAAGTTCTCTTCAAGTACTCCGGTTAAGTAATAAGAATTATAATGTACAATTATCAATCCTGCTCCACTATCTCTTTCATCAAAACTTTTAACTGAAAATAGTTATATTTTATACATAAGACACAAATAAAACATATTCTGATTGGACGATAAGGGATTCATATTAGGAAATCTGTGAGGAAGGTTAACATTTTTCATATTTGTATTTAAAGTATAAATGAACAATCTATTTTCTTTAGCTGTACTATTGGCTGACTCATTTTATTATAACTGACCAAACCTCATGAGGTATTTTATATTATTGATAAAACTATACATTTTATATCTGTTACTACTGCTATAAAAAATGTTTGATCTAAAGCTTTTTAATTATTTAGAA